TGAAGGGCAATCAGATATATTACGCCTGTGAAGGGCGAGTGCTCGATCTACGAAGGGCAATGCCTACGAAGGGCAATCAGTTATATTTAGCCCGTGAAGGGTGATGCCTATGAAGTGAAATCAGATAGATTACGCATGTGAAGTGCGATGCCTGTGAAGGGCAACCAGATGAGATCAGTTTATACATGTTTCATGAAAGTTATGGTATATGTTTTTATACTGAATAATCGCATAGTACTGTTCCCACGGTGAGTGTTTTGCTGTTGAGCAGCTGGCAGTGGACACGAAAGGGCGAGAGTGGTCAATTTATGTTAATGATTTTTATGCTTCCGAAAACTTTATTTAGACTAGATGTTAGCTTCGGTTTAATTATGAACTAAGTTCAAGACTATAATTTTGATGTTTAAGACCTTATATAATTGTAAGTTTTATTATGTGTCGGTAATTAAGAAGAAAGAAATAAGTTTGGAAGTGATTTCCCTAAGAACTTAATTGTGAGGCTTAAGTTAAGCTTTTAAGGAAAAAAAAAAGTATTTTTAGTAAGTTTTGCCAAAGAAAGAGTTTTTCAGTAGTGCCCGAGAAAGGTTTAAAGTTGAAAAGTTTTTGACAAGTTCAAATTATTTCTGAAAACTGAGCTTTTCCAAAGATAAGTAAGCAGGCGCTACAACCATCGCTGCACGGAGCCGCAATCACCGCCTTGCAGCGCACGCTGCTCGCCATAGCGACCGCGCAACACCCCTCGGCAATGCCCAATGCCCTTGGGCAACACACATTCGCAACGCACGACTCCCAACGCCCACTCGCCTGCAGACGCACGCCAACGCTAGAAGCCTTGCACACATACGCCACATCACTCGGAGATGCCAACTGCAGCATGCAATACACGACCACAACACATAGGCACACAGACCCCCACACGCGGACGCCCGCGATGCAGTGAGGCTTGCGCACGCTGCGCAGCATCCGCGCATTGACCCAGTCATCTTAATGCCAGTCCGACAATTCTCGACACATCGACGAGGTTCAGACGATCTCCATCAACAGAAATCAGAAACGTTTCTGAGTCGGTAAAAATTATAAACCATATGTCCTAATCTTATCTATAGATTTGATAAATCGGAAAATGTGCGCGTTTTATATATTTAATAGTGTATTTTTATACACTAAATTTAGTCGCACATTTATATTTTTTGACTTATTTATTATTTGGATGGATTCATATACATTAATATTTTTATGTTTATTTTCAGCATGTTAGAGAATTTTAGTGAATGACGAAATATCTGACTGGAGCTCGAATATGCAATTAGAGGAATGTCAATACCGGCCCACTAAATCATTAGATTTGATAGAGATTATTCGGCCGGAATTGGTAAAGTGGGCTTGCACAACTTGGCCCAATGGACGAGAAGTGAGTTTGGACTCCACTCAAATGAACCTGGTGGAAAATTGGAAATTGAATCCTAAAAGACAAGGACAACCAATATTTATTTGCTTGGGAGATTTTGATTGGCTGGGACTGATATTTTAGTTGGGAATTATTTACGAAGAGGATTTTTTTATATTTTGGGAAATCATTACGCAGACAGTAGCCGCGGACGGAAAAGAAAACATGCACAGACAGGAAGAAAATACGCGGAGGGAAGTCGCAGTCGAGGGAGATAATTATTCTCTTTCTTTTATCTATTTTTTATTTTTATTAGTATGTTAGAGTAAGTTTTTTTATTCAGTTTGAGGGGATGTTTGAATCCTAATTCCGATTTGTCTATGAATTGGATAATCTCTATTTATCGTTAGTTAATCGAAACGTCCTATTTATTTTGTTGATGAGTTGATTCATGTTATCTGTTTATAACGTTTATGAATTATGGTGTTTGATTTGGTTTGGCCAGCTAGGTTGAATATCCATGATTTAATTGCTAGATTCGAGACTTTAATCCGTAACTGTTATTGTTCTCGTTTCGTTAGTAGTAAACTAGGTGTCGTGCATGTCTAGGGTAGCATGAACATGAGTGAAATGGTCCGAGCTTTTGCGTCCATTGCTTAGACTAATCCATTTTTCTAGGAATTAATGCTGCTAATGTATTAAATCTAGAGAGCTTATTTCTAGGTTGTCCACTTTTTAGGTGTAGTCGAAGAACCTATTTCGATTAAATACTCGGTAAGGGAAAATTCGGTTAACAGAGCTTGTTGTTAGCTAAGGTTGGTAATTCATTAGCAATTTAAAGAATGTGTCGAAATTAATTAACGGTAGATTGAAATTGGGTGATAACTGAACCGAAAACTGGACTTCTCTTATTTCATTTTATTTTCTTATTTTTATTTTTAGTTTTATAAAATCAATCCCCCCATCTCTATCGCTTTCGTTGTTTTAGTTCAATTGATACGAGAACCGACACAATTTAATTCATGCTCCTCGTGGAATCGACCCTTACTCGTCACTACTACTAGTTAGTAGAGGTTAGTCAAGGAAAACGTTATAAATTAAAATTTGCCGCATCGCGACGCGTGGTCAGATTCTGCTGCGTTAGGGTTTAATTTATTAGATTTGGTTGTGCATATCGACGATGTTCCAAACCCAACCAACGTTCCTTTCATTCTTGTTCATCTTTCATTTTTTATATAATATAAAATAAAAATATTAATATAATATTGATAAAAAATGTTATGAAAAATTGTTGAAATTTGATCCTACACCTTGGAGCACTAGTCTCGAAAAATGTCAATTTCATTAGGCGGGATTTATTGCCCCCATAATTTCAATTATGCGATATACTATGCGATTTATTGTACTATGTTCGTAGTTCCGCTGAAAAAGCGTGTCGTCCCTACAAAAGTCTCCTCAACATATTTGAACGGTGCACATACCAAGGAGGATATCTTCTTGATGATACACATTGATCTTATTGACGTAAATATGAGTCATTTTTTATAGCTCTCACATCTATACTTATATTAAAAGGTATCCCATCTACCAGATTTAGTATAAAGAAAAATCAAATGTAATTAATGTTTGCTAGAAATAGAATGACATTAATTACATATTTGTTTTGGTATTTATAGCTTGACATTAAAGATTTGTTATGGAATAAAAATCAGAACCAATTTTTTTAGATTTGTTTTATTCCATAACATCAGTTTAGTTAAAATAATCTCATAAAATCGGTTTTAATGTCAAGCTTATAAATAAAGATTTAATCGATTTTAATAAAGAAGATTTAATCGGTTTTAATAATTGCACATAATTTCAAAGTTGTTATTTATTGTAAAAAAATTAAATTCTAAAAAAACATTTGTGTATATTTTGTAAAATGTTTGTACAAAATGTTTTACTTTAAATTTATTTACATAATTTAAATTAATTACTTTATTAAATAATATGAACATACATTAAATATTTTAATTATATAAAACAAAAAGAAGAAGAAGATTACATCTATAACTTATAATAATAATGACATTATACTACAATAAATTTTATAATGAAATAATATAAGTATTATACGAGGAACAAGATTACGTAAAATTGTTATTTTTCTTATATGAATAAATTTATATAATGAAATCAAATTTATATTATTATAAACATGTGAGCGAGATAATATATTAATTAATTTACGAGCTAGCGCTACCAGACTCAGGTCTAATGTTCCGACAAAAAAAATGACGTTGATGAAATGATGTAAAAAGATAGATAATCAAACTCTATTGTTTTTTAGGCCTGAACGGACAATCCCTATGGTCCACTCATTTAATATCTCCCGTGAATCGCACAAGCTACTTAACGGACAAGTTCTGTGGAAATAACTCATTAATACTTATGTCTCGTGCATCGCACGGGCTACGTGCTAGTTTACATTTAATAGGGGTTACAATTTACAATTTTCCTTCGTCATTACAGAGAGAATCCCTCCCAGTCAACCACAGAGTCTTCATTGCCATGAGGTTGCGATCATGTGTAATCAACCAAGTTTCTTTTGCCAAAGTCATCTCAGGAGAGCAATAAACAAGGGGAGGAAAGTGTAGGCATGTCCTCTCGTGGGCTCACAAATGCCCAATCTTCTTCCGAGAATGATGGTCGAGCTATCGACAAACATTCAACAGGAGATAAAAACAATCATAAAACGAGAGGTTAGAAATGTCTGTAGATATTTGAAAATTGGCATTAAATCGACAAACTCCAGTGAAGTTGGAACCTACATTGCATGCGGGAGCTGTCTGAAAATAAAAAGGAAGTTTGGTCATCGTCTTTATTTTATTTCCTTAAATTTAGTTATTTTGAATTTATTATCTCTCGTATACTTATTTTGAACTTATTATTTTATTTTATTTATTTTAAATAAAAGTTCGTTTAGTTAACTAACTGAGCTCGGCTCGGCTAAATAAGACTCATAAAAAGAATTTTTATATAATGTTCTATATTTTGACTCGTTAAAGCTTGAGATCGGCTCGTTAAGGCTCGAATTCGACTCGTTATTAGTGATAAGCGAGCCGAGCTCGAGCTCGATTTCAAGCTCGTTTATTTAATGACTCGGCTCGTTAAAGGCTCAAGCTCGAGCTTGAGTATCCTAAGTTCGAGCTCGGCTTAGCTCGTTTACTAGCTTAGTTACCGGACATTTGATTTGCACGTTTTGCAGTCTAGGATAAAAAAAAAAATTTGCTACGTCCCTGCCTATAGTAATAACACAGTATGTAAAACACAATATATATCACTCCAAACCAAGTCACAAAGTCAAAGTAGGACTTTCATTTGAAAGAGGACGGAAAGTAGAGGATTGAGAATGCATAATTGATACGAGTACCCTTCTGTATTAA